ACTCAATTGGAATTCGAACTTTGCTCTCCGATTCCTCAATCCAAGTAATCCATTATATATATATATATATATATATATATATAATACATAATAAGAAATAATGTCAGATTTACGGTAATAAGAAATAATGTCGTAAACATTACTTTTAGTGAGTACACTTGTTTGAACTGCCATCCCTGTTTTTCATTTTCTTAAATATTGAAACAATCACAATCTTTCTTTAGTTGGATTTTTCAGTTTAGCCTGATTGTTATTAATTTCACTGTTTAAAAAAAAAAAAAAAAACAAGGATCATAACTCAAGCATGTGAACCCACATATAAAATAATATTTATAGCAATAAGAAATAATGTTGGATTAAGAAATCCATACAAAAATTACTATTGTTTACGTTTCGGATATGAAATTAAGGCTAACAGATAGAGATTTCTTTAGGTTCAAACACAAGAAGGAATTCAAATCTTGCTCAGTTAAGATGGCCTCCCTTGGTCAAACTGGTAGTGGCATGTTTCTGATATAGAAGTTGTTTATCTGATGGGAAAAGGATACAGGTTCAATTCCTGTTGGGAGGTACAATTTATCTTTAGTAGGATTTCTTGATCTAAAGGCCCCTTTGTGATAGTTCTAAAGTATATACAAAAATAATTAAAAAAAAAAAAAGAAATCTTAAAATTAACCTATTGTGAGTTATATTTTTTTTTTTTTTTTTTAATTGTTTCACCCCACGAATTTAGGTCAAAAAATCGACCCGTAATGCCATAACACTGGAGCTTGCAAAGAAGGCCGGCATGCCAAACCCTATCAAACGCTTTGGAGATGTCTTGGGCCACGGCACGAGCTTCCCCGTTATTTTGAAGAGCTTGGTAGACAGTTTCAGTGATGGCCGTAAAGCACATCAGTTGTAGATTGGGCAAAGCGGAAGCCATATTGCTTGTCTGAGAGCAGATCATGGGATGTGAGGTGGTTAACCACTTCGGTATTGATTAGGGCTTTGAAGACTTTGCCGAAGAGGGGTAGGAGACTGATAGGACGGTAGTTAGAAGGGTCAGAGGGGTCGCCAGAGTTCTTGAAGACAGGAACAATCGAAGAGGACTTCCAGCAGTCAGGAAAACAAGATTCCTGGAGGCAGTAGTTATATAGTTTAGAGAGGGCAGGCGCCAGTTCAGGTGCGCATTTCTTCAAGACAATAGCTGGTATCCCATCTCCTCTACTAGCCTTGTTGGGGGTCTAAATTGGTTTTGGTATTGGGCATTATGTGTAACCCACTCAATAGGGCCTCAGTTCTAAGAAGGAAGTTGGGTATGGGTACACCAGAAGAGTAGAGTGTTGAGTTGAATGAAAATTTCTGAGTGAAGCATTCAGCATTGTCGGCAGAGGAGGTCAGGACTTCGAACTGGTTGAACAAAGGAGGTATAGAGGGTTTGCAATTGTTCAGTACGCTCTTGCAGAGACGCCAATAATCTTTGGAGCCAAATTTGCGAGATGCAATATGCTCCTTCATCCGAGCAGCAAATAGTGACTTAGCATCATTGAGGACACGCTTATACCCGTTACAGGTGGAGGCAAAGAGACGTCTGATTATTTCATTGTATCTTAAAATTATATTCTTAACTAGATGTAATGGTAACATGTCTGAAAATGACAGTTCACCTCGACAAGTATGAATAACACACACACACCTCTAACCTATATTTTTCACAATCTTTTTTAGTAGGATTTTTTCAGTTTATTAATTTCACTGTTTAAGAAAATAAAAAACAAGGATTATATCTCAAACACGTGTACTCACTAAAAATAATATTGGATAAAAAATCCTTTGAAAAATATATATAGTTAAATATAACAGACATGAATGTCTATTATGCCTGATCATGAGCCGTTCTAATGTTCACATGTTTGCTTTAATTTCAGGTGAAAATAAAGACAAAAATTGTCCAACATTTCAGATATAATTAAAAATAGATCTGTAAAAGGACAATGTGAATAAATACGAAAGAAAAACTTATCTTAGCTGACACATTTCGTCCTCTGAGTGACTTTGTCAAGGTAAATGTGAGGATTATATTTTGCAACAAGTATTTATAAATACAAGTAAAAATGTCGTTTGTTTTTCCAAATTATTAAAATTTAAGAAATGCTCATAAATATTTATCAGGTTAACTGAAAATCTCATAAATTATGGAGGACACTAAGTGACATAATTAGTTGTCTAATAAACAAAAGTGAGTTGGCAATGAAGAGTTGTGGTCGGACGGTGTGTATGTGCGTATGTGTATGTATGTGTGTATGTGTACAAATGAGTTTACTAATTCCTCATAGTAAGACAGTATATGTATGGAGGGGAAATATACGCACCCATATATACATGCATGCTGACAGAAACACACGTAAATGGAAACAGATCTAAGAACGCAGAGAGGTCAGTAAAACATTAAAAGATAAAATGTAATTCGTTATTTCTCTTCGACCAACCTTAATTGTTTTATGACCCTTTGTGCAGAACTCTTCATTGCCAATTCAAAAAAGACATTCGGATTACTAACACAAAAACAGAGAATGTCTCATATTGAGAATATTTAACAGTGAAAAACATAAGGAAAAAATTAATTATTTTTAATAATATGTGGAAATCTCCGCTTTTACCTGAAGACGGTCACAAGACCAGAAACTCGTGTAGTAAAATTATGGAAAATAAAGCATAATATCTTTTCTAAAAAAAACACATTACAACCAAAATGTTTGTGGCACCTCTCTTCCCTTCTTTTTAATAGACATACTTTTCTCTCATTGGAACCACTACAACCTCTTTTTTTTTTTTTTTTTTATATATATATATATATATATATATATATATATATATATATAGATGATAGAGAGAGTTTAGAATGAGATTTTCTCTCTCAAAAAAAAAAAGAGGGTGTATTCCGTTTTGGAAAGTTAAAAATAATTATTTACTCACCAGTTATTTACTATTGCCTGAGGAAGCACAACTTTAGTGCTGAAACATGAAAGGTATTGTGTTTATTGTGTATTATTTTTAACAGGTTTTTGTTTTAATCTCATATATATTCTGTGTATTTTGGCAGCAAATGTTAAGGCAAATATTAGTAAAGACAGCAAATATTTTGTGTGGATAAATTTTTACTGATCTGCTTTTCGGACAGAAATTCCTATATGTCTGAGAAAGATTATTCATAATTTGAAAAATTCTGTCAGTAAAATTAGTTGACACAAAATGTCTCTTGTCTTATATATATATATATATATATATATATATATATATATATATATATGTGTGTGTGTATGTGTATATTATTCCTTACCAGTAACATGACTCAGAGTTTCATGTACAACACAAACTACTCAGCACCTGAAGATTGTGTTGTGAATGAAACTCAGTCATGCTACCAGTGAGGAATTGAATTATATGTATATTTATTAATATATACTTAATAACTCTGTTATATTACATCAAGCATTATTTTATTAAACACTCAATGTGCAATATCTTATATTCATATTTATTTCTTATATGAGTATAATAGACAAGCAGAAAATAGTACTTAGTCCTTGCCACCATGTTTTGTCATTTGACTTTATCAAGTTAAGTGATGATAACAAAAGTGAAATGTTGAAACAGGAAATTCAAAAGCTTTAAAAGAGCTCCTGTGCAAGCCTTTTTTTGGATATGAGTAACATTTTTTTTTTTCTTTTTTTGACTAAGTGTGTGTTTTTGTTTTCCATGTTGACAATGTTTTAAAGTTCTCAAAATATAATTTTCCAGAGAAGACAAATTGAATAAAATAATCGGAAAACAGTATGTAGTCCTTGCCAACATATTTTGTCATTTGACTTTATCAAGGCAAGTGATGATAAACAAATTATATATTATACTAACTGCACTTAGTCAAAAAAAAACAATTTTTACAATTTTTGAATTTGAGCTAACTACACAACATTTCGTTTTTCTTTATCATCACTTGCCTCAATAAAGTTGAATGACAAAACGCTTCGGCAAAGACTTAGTACTATTTTTCAATTTCCTATTTTATTCAATTTGTTTTTTCTACAGATTTATTCTGAGAACTTTAATACATGCACAAACACACACACACACTATATATATATATATATATATATATATATATATATATATATATATATATATATATAATCATTAAACTTTTTATGAATGCTTTTGTGTTTTCAAATTTTATTCAGCAAAAACTGTCAGAAATGTCTACAGTGTACCTAACAAACCAATGTGGCAACCAGTTGATAAGAAATTATTCATACAGACTTGACTGTAGAGATTTCGAATAAAACTTATGTCTGTCTTCTTATGAATATTATTTTCTGAAGTTAAATAAAATTACAACATTCATTGCAAATAGAAAAGTTTTTTTTCTTTAACTTTATGGCTTGGGCATTTTACCATGGTATAATGCTTAACGAGTGCTTGTCTCACTGGATCATATATGACTGACTAGTGAGTTTGATTCTCACTGTATGCTCTCTGCATTTACCATTGGGCTACATCTTTGTAAATCCCTTTAACTTTATGGTTTGAAATAACATACCTGCAAGCTAAGAGGTCAACTTTTTATTCATTTGTAATGTGGTTTATGCTAACACATATCTTCAAGTATTTAAAGAACAGTTTTTTTTTATGTTCTTTCAAAGTTGACCAACCATTTTTTATCTGTTTAGAAAAGAGGAGAGCATTAATTGTAGATCATTTCAACAAATTTAAAATTGCTAAGCATAAACCAGCCAAAGAACCAATTTGTTATCTTCATTTCAACAATATTTACATCACTCTTGAAGGTTTTGCAGTCTTTTTCTCTTTAAGATTAAGTTAATGATGATCAGAGTGGCACAAAGGTGGAGTGAAAAGATAAGTATGAATCAATTTATAGGTAATTACAATATCATGACATAGGAGAAACCGCAGTTCAGCAATGGCTGTCCATGATATTAAACAAAACATGCCAACACCTAATGTCTATGGCAACCTTTGCCTGTTTTACACTCTTCTTTCTCTGCTTGTCACAGAGTCATTCTTTCTTTTCCGCTCCTTCATCCACTCTGCGTATCTACACCCCTTTCACTTGTTCCTCTCTTTATTCTTCAATGCTTCTCTTACAGCTTCCACCTCTTTGTATCTTTCTACCTCTGTGCTTCCCTCAACCAATCATACTTTTCCACTCTTTCATTCTTTATCCTTCTCTCACCAATCTTTCTTTTCCACTCTCACTCTCTTTTTCCTCAATAGGCTTACTCTCTTCTTCCTCGCTCTCTCTTTCTCTTCTTCCTTGCTATGCTCTCTCTTCTTCCACACTATGTTCTATCTCACTCTCCTCTTCCTTGCTATGCTCTCCCACTCTCCTCTTCCTTGCTATGCTCTCCCACTCTCCTCTTCCTTGCTGTGTTGATTCTCACTCTCCTCTTCCTCACTGTGTTCTAACTCACTCTCCTTTTCCTTTCTATGCTCTCTCTCCTCTTCCTCGTTATGTTCTCTCTCACTCTCCTCCTCCTCACTATGTTCTCTCTCACTCTCCTCCTCCTCACTATGTTCTCTCTCACTCTCCTCTTCCTTGCTGTATTCTCTCTCACTCTCCTCTTCCTTGCTGTATTCTCTCTCACTCTCCTCTTCCTCGCTGTATTCTCTCTCACTCTCCTCTTCCTCGCTGTATTCTCTCTCACTCTCCTCTTCCTCACTGTATTCTCTCTCTCTCTCTCCTCTTCCTTGCTATGTTTACTCTCCTCTTCCTCGCTATGTTCTCTCACTCACTCTTTTCCTCTTCACTATGCTTTTTATTATGCTTTCTTTTTCTTTCTTGCTATGCTTTCTCTTCATTTTTCTAGCTGTTATCTCTGTCTCTCTTAGTTTTTTTTCTTGCAATGATCTCTCTTTCTTCTTTGTTACCTTATCTGATGACCTCTCTCTTTTTCCCCATCCTTTTCTACCCCCCCCCCCTAATAATACACTGGGTACAGGCAACTTAAGATAAGAAGATCAAATGTCCACCACCCAACACGATAGGCAAGACATCATTTTTAATCCTTTAAATAAAACATGTGAAATACTCTTATCATTCTGTAACCACCTTTCCTTCATTTCCATTGACTTTTGTCTTCTCAGATTCTTCTCCAATTCTCACCTTTCACTTTTTACAGCAGGTGCATTGAATGCCCTTTTGTTTTTGTTTATTCTAAATACTAATCCTATATATATACACCCCAGATCAAATCATCCCCATCTATAGTAAAGTATATACCTTCATCTACTGAAAAAAGAATAAGTATCAATTCTGCTAATGAAAATATATTCTATGAACACAGTAAATTTTATAATAAAGCTTTAAAGAATAGTGGTTATAAATGCCCTGACATTAATTATATAAAAAATGATAATAAAAACCTGAGAAGAAATAGAAATAGAAAAATCATTTGGTACACACCGCCATTCAACCAAATGGTTAGTAGTAACTTAGAACATAAATTTCTTGCTTTAATTGATAAACATTTTCCTATAAATAATACATTTAGCAAAATTTTTTATAAAAATACCATAAAATTAAGTTATAGTTATAATAAAAATTTAGAAAAAATTATAAAAAAACATAATAATAAAATTCTAAGAAATAGTGATCCAGAAATAAGAATAAAAAATAGTAAAGAAAAATTATGTAACTGTAGAAATCCTGAAAATTGTCCTTTGAATAATAAATGTCTCAGAATCTTTAGTTTACCAATGCATTATCTCATCTATTGAAAATCCTAATATTGTAAAATTTTATATTCGATCTACTAAAAACTAATTTAAATTAAGATGAAGCCAACATCTGAATTCCTTCAATAATATTAAGTATCACAACCAAACATCCGTATCCAAATATTTTTGGCATATAAAAGAAACAAATAAAACACCCACAGTGAAATAGAAACTAATAAAAAAATGAGAACATGTAGATCTTTAGATCACCCATGTCCTTTGTGTCTACATGAAAAGTTATACATTATTAAATTTCTGAAGGATAAAAATTTATTAAATCAAAGAAATGATTTGGTAGACATTGTCTCATATTTTCCTTAAAAAATAATTAATTATAAAAATAATTTGAATAATTATATGTCTATTATTTGATCATAAATAAAATAGTTTATTAATGCGTAATTCAATTCTAATATTTTAATTTTACAATGCCATATATAGTTTGTTAGGAAATATAAATAATAATAAATTATTTTAGATCTTTATAAATAAAATTATAAATATAAATAATGACTTAATCATATTTGATAACACCTTTAAGAAAGTCACGATGTAGTGTAAAAAATAAGAAAATAAAAAATAAATAAAAATGCCAGTTGAATTGTAGTGTAACCCAAAAAAACAGATTAAAAAAAAAAGATTAAAAATAATAGAAGCCTTAATAATAAAAAAGAAAAAGCCAACACTTAATAATATTAACTATGAACATGGCCACAATGGGTTAACTGGGTTCAGAAAATAAAACATTTCTATAACACTTTAGTGTTATAGAAATGTACACACTCAGTTAAATTGAAAAATTCAAATCATCCTTGATAATGGCTAAAAGTTTAGATGAAAGCGCATGAAATTATAAATCAATTGGACAGTTTCTACATACTTTGTGTCCCCAAAAAAACAGTTGTTCAACACAAGAAAAATTAAATAAAAAGCTTAAACACAGTACCATATCTGTCATCTTTAATGAAAACACACACATATATATATATATATATATATATATATATATATATAGAGAGAGAGAGAGTGAGATAGATATGTTGTCTGTATTGAAACATGCATATATATATATATATATATATATATATATATATATATATATATATACACACACATACATATATACAAACACATGCACATATTGCTTCTTTATATATATATATATATATATATATATATATATACACACCCACCCATGCAGTATATAATTTCATCTATCAATGAGTATGTACTAGAATGTATAGATTATTAATGCTTTCCATTTTGAATGCGTTCTGGAGAATAGATTGAAGGCAATTATCCATTGAATGATTCCATCCAATATAAAGGAAGATGACGCTGACATTAATTTTCCACACATGGCTACTTTGTCAATTCTTCTAATGCTTCATAAGTTCACTGAACAAATCAACATTGCACAATGACTGTTTTATATTATTGACTCATTTCCTTCTCACATGTCTGGATTTTATTCCCTCACAGGATTAAAGATTTGATGTTGGGGCATTCAGTTGCATTTTCTCCATTTTCCGACAAAGGCAAGTCGAGATTGGTCTTCGGCTATTGTTTGTTTAGTCCTTTTATTTCTGTTTCCTTCTTCTTTTTTTTTTTCCAATTTTCATATCGCTTCTTTAACTTTGTAGCTCAGTCTGTGAATCCAGTTTTTCCCAAGGTGTTCTCTTCGAGTTGGATCAATGAGTTGCTTTGTACAATTGAAGATCTGTCCATTCCAGTAGAATTGATTTGTGTTTCTTTCTTGCACAGATAAAAATGGTGGCAATGTTTTTTAGACTTCTGGAGATTTTTCAGTTCGCACTATTCACATTATTCGGACTATTGTCCTCATCTTTGTTGCCATATTTATTACAATGTTTCGGCCGTTATATGCTCTGGCCTTCATCAAGTGGTTGGAATGTCAAACTGAACCCTTTATTTCACTCACTGGGGTAGACTGTTCTAGATTCATATGCCATGTTTTAATGGATGTCAGTTGTCAGTTATCTCCTGTTAATTCCCCTCTCCAAGTTCTCCATCACCTTAAACAGGTATTGAACTCACACTCTTTGAGTCCTGTCACTGGATCTAACTAACGCCTTTATCCACTGTGCCATGTGTCCTTGATACTGATTTTTCAGTTTGTCTTTTCTTTTTGCAGCAAGAGTAAGTTTTCTATTTAGTTACTTCCAAGAGGACAATATTTCAGACGTTATATTCTGCAGCAGCCAAAAAGTTGGATTTTGAAATATCAAAAGGAATATATTCAACCTTATATATATGCAAATACAGATGGCACAAAATCACAATTATGACAGAGAATTTGAGCATACTGGGGATCACACTATTACTCTAAATAAATATTCTTAAAGACTCTAGTTGCATTTTCAACTTCTTTTTCCTATATATATATATATATATATATACACACACTCAGAGGGGACAGGCTGTTTCATGCTAGATGCAATCATCAGGCCACCTCTGAGTGTTTACTTCAATGTTTACTTTTATACTTATATTTACTGATATTGACCACTTTATCCCATAAATATAGCACACCTTAAAGCTATATTTCTTCATATATATATATATATATATATATATATATATATATATATATATATATAATATAAGAGAAGTTGATTGGCAGGTAGGCCTCATCATTTTATAGTTGAAATTGCGATATTAAACCGTAGGTTCTATGCTAACAGTTTCTACTTACTCACTTCTTGCTTGTGGAACTCTTTTCCGGCTTCTTGGTTTCCTGTCAACTACGATTCAAATTTTAAATTCAACATCAACCGTCATCTTCTGTCTCCTTGCATCTTGATCATTTATTGTCCTCTCTCTCATCAAGAACTTTTTCTCCTTATTTCTTTTTATATATATATATATATATATATATATATATATATAACCATCATTAATGTTTAAATATTTTAATAGATGCCATGCAAAGAAGATGGCAATGAAGATAGAAGAATAAAAAAAAAAAAGAAATTAAAGTAAAAACGAGAGAGAAATAAGCCTGCAAAAATTATGTGTGAGGTTGGTCAAGGAAAGATATATCCAATTCCATCAGGAATAGTAAAAGGTAAATGGGGCTCATCCATGTGTCTTCGAGGATTTCAAAATGAAAAAGACATTTTTTGTTTAAAAAGATGCACAATGTTCAGGCTGCAAACACATACAAAGATACAGTTTGTTCAAACTGTCTGCACAAGCCACCCACATAGAATACACTGTTTGGTTGAATCTCAGCCAGTCCATGAGACAAGGACAAGTAATCATCATCAGTGCAAATATTCACTACAATTTCCACACACACACACACACACACACACACACACACACACACACACACACACACACACACATATATATATATATATTGAACAATGAAAAATATTAAAAAATTAAAATCTTCAGACACACTGGGTTGTAGATTAATATTCTTTTGTTTTTATTATTATTTCATTTAGATTCCTCGACTAGTTTCGGCCAAAATGGCCATCATCAGGAGTAGAAATATTTCTGCTTGCTGGTAGCAGTGAACTACAGAAATGAATGTCTTGATGGAGAAAATGAACTTTTGTCTGTAGTTTTCATTTGTTTTTTTATTTTTTTTATCTTTTTAACATGAATCTTTTAACATTCCTTGTGTTGGTCAAACAGTCTCTTTTAAGTTGTTATTTGAGATAAGAGCTGGATGGATCTATGCTTCTCTGAATTCTCTGGTCAGTTTGACAGTTTTATTGGTCCTGGAGAGGGGATGTGTCTGTGTTAAGTGTGTGTGTTATTTGGTTCTTAGGGAGTGAGTGAGTGTGATATGTGTATGCATGTATATTGCTGTGGGTGTGTGTTATCATTTGGCTTATTAGGGAGTGAGTGAGTATAATGTGTGTAAGTGTATATTCATGTGGGTGTGTGTATAAGTGTGAGGCCTCAACACCTCCATAAGCATGTCTGTCTTGTGTGGGTGAGAAATGTGGGTAGGTTTTGATTTGTTGAGTTATATATTAGTACTATCTATATTGTTATATTTTTGGTTTAGCCCGGCTGGTTATTGTGTTTTTAGACGTTGTATCCACTTATT